AAAAAGAGGGAACTCCCATCCATTTTCTATCACTAAAGTGCTGTCTGTATGGAGCAAGGCCACGCTGCAGTCCCTTTTCCTCCATTTCTCTTCTTGTTAGGTTCTGGGGCACACATGCGCATGTAACTGGTGTGTTTTTCAAGTTGTCAGGGCCAGGACTTAAATTGTGGTCAACCATATAGGATCCAGCTTTCTATGTACAGGACTTAACCACTGTCCTATGGGACCAGTTCAGATTTAAAATTTTTTGTACTAAAATAAACTTGTGCATTAATCCATTTTCATATGAATTTTTTGAAGTCTCCTCATAAATATGTACAATTATTTAGTGCCAATTAAATAATTAATACTACATAGACTTTAAACTTAATATAAAATTATTATTTCAAGCATCATAAAAGTATTTTTCTATCAAGATTATAGTAAAATTTTACTTTCTTTTCTTTACAAATCAAATATTTTGAAAAGATAAGAGATCCAGGGGCCACCAGATGGCATAGCAGTTAAGTCACTGGATTTCTGCATAGCCGACCGCAGACTGAGTCCTACACCCAGAGGCTTGATACACTGGGCATGTGTGCATGCATGCCCAAGATCCCAGAAGGAGAACGGAGAAGGAATTGACGCATGCTGGAGGGTGGGGGATGAGGGCGGGAGGGGGCTTCTCACTTTCCCTCTCACTGTCTCTATCTCACTCCCCTTTCCCACCCACAGCAAACATACACACACACGCACACACACACTCACTCACTCACTCACACACACACGCCCTAAAGCAAACACCTCTTAAAAATGTTGGTTTGGTTTTTTTTGTTGTTTTTAGTTTTTGTTTTTTTTTGAGAGATTTTTGCTATAGGGCACATGCACTCGCCAGAAAGACAGAGACAGAGAGACAGAAAGTGCGAAATCATCCCCTAGGGGGGATGGCTACAACGCAATCACTTCTCCATTCTCCTCCCGGGATCTTGGGCACACATGCACATGTGCCCAGAGTGAGTTTAAGCCACTGGGGTCCAGGACTTGAACCATGGTCAACTACATGGGAGTTCAGCGACATAGCCATAAAGCTAACTGCTGGTCCAAACACCTCTTAGAAATATAAGAAGTCCTAATAGTAAATTGATTTTTAGCTTTTAGTCAAACATTTCTCTCCTTTAAGAGACAAAAATGCTGCCTTTTCTTTGATAAATCTGATGTAAGTAAAATAGCCTTCTTTATACAAATTAAAACTTCCTTTTAAAACATGAACTTTTTTGGAAGAATTCTTACCCATTATAATGTGTAAAGTTGCAGTTACAACGTGAGGAATTCCATGAAGAGAATGTGCCAATACATTAGTAGATCCTGTCAAGGCAATTTAAAAACATACAATATCAGTACAGCATGGTTTTTTTTTTGGAGAGGTTTTCGCTATTGAGCGTGTGCACTCGCCAGACAGACAGAGAGAGACATAGAGACAGAAAGTGAGAAATCACCCCCCAACGGGGATGGTCACACCGCAATCCCTTCTCCTCCATTCTCCTCTTGGGATCTTGGGCACGCACGCACACGCACCCAGCGTGAGTTTTAAGCCACTGGGTCCGGGACGCAAACTGCGGTCGACTACGTGGGAGTCCAGCGACATAGCCATTACGCCAACTGCTGGTTCCCTGTATAGCATGTGTTTTAAATTAATTTTTTCTTTCTTTACGTAAATATCACTATGCAATGTTGGGATATGTATAAAATCAGAACAGTTAATGAAAACATTAACTGTAAAGCAAGTTAACTGTATAAATGTACATCAAATATTTGTAAAATTGTTAAATGTTTAAATGAATTAAAAATTAGAAGATGGCTTATAGCATCTAGTTACAGCTTTTTTCACTATGAATTTCTGCTTTCTATCACTAAAATGGTGGCTGTATCAAAACCTACTCCATCTAACTTTTATGAATAGACTTTTAACTTTTATATCAGAATGAACAGCAATAACAAAAGGGGGGATTTGGATAGCAGAGAAAATGCATAAACAAATCAGTAAGAAAAATTCCAGTAATAATTAAAACAAAATACACTCCTTATAGAGTATAAAAGACATGTTCTAATTACACTTAATGAATCTTAGAGATGCGCTGTCACCTTGATGGGAATCCCCTTGATTATCTGACAGACAAATGGTCTCATTAGATGGAGCATATATTTAATTCTATGGCATTTGCCATAGTATAGAAATTTCTATCTGGGACATTATAATTTCTAATTTTCGTAATCCTTAAGACTCACATTGATTTTCCCCACTATACTACAAAGGGAAAGAACTCCCCATGTCAGGCCCCTCTAATGTTTATGTGTAACTGAAGTCTGGGATAAAGGCTCACTTCAGCAGGGACACATGCCACCTTCTCATTCCTAGGAAGTTAAAAAAATATACTTAAATTATTTAAAAGAATGTGAATTAAGTTATAATTTTTCTTGAATTAAAGAATATGGAAAAGAAGTCCAACAATAACTTCGAGCTGCAAAAGCACCACTGTGATGTGGAACAGTCATCAAGGAGAAGTCTAATCCTCTGAATTTGGTTCATCAGAAACATTCCTGAGTGGTCATCCACAATCGTTCCAATTTGTGTCACATTGACCTGATACATGCCTGAATGGCTCAGTGGGAAAAGTCTCACTAAAATAATTATATTCCCATCTAAGCATTAATAATAATTAATAAATATATTTTTTCTGGATCATAAACAAGCATAATTAAGACACACTCTAATAAATAACAATGCAAAGAAAAAGAAAGTTTGCCTTAACCAAAGGTAAGTTGGTTCCAATTGATTCACCAAAAGGCAAGTTATGCTCTGTTCCTTGTTACTCAAAAATATGGCCTATCGGCAAACAGGAGTTATAACGCCTGACTACTTATTAAAATGGTGACTCTCATCAAGAACAAAGCAAGGATGCCTACTGTTGACACTGCTCTTCAACACAGCATTGGAAGTCTTAGCCAGGGCAGTTAGGTCGGTTAGGTCAGAGAAAAAAATAAAAGTCACCCAAATTGAAAAGAAACAAGTTAAATGATCTCTCTTTGCAGAGGGCATATGTGTGTGTGCGTGCGTGCGCGTATCCCTAAAAACTTCACCCAAAAAACTGTTAGAATGAATAAACAAATTTGGTAGAGTTTTAAGATATAAAATCAACTTTCAAAAGTTAATGGCATTTAGGACCACTAGGTGGCATGATGGTTAAGGTGCTGAACTCCCACAAGGCCTACTGTAGTTCGAGTCCTGGACCTGGTGGGTTGCTCACCTGGTCTCACTTTCTCTCTGTCTGTCTCAGGTGAGCACATGTGCTGATAGGAAAAATTTAAAATAATAAGTAAAATATTTTTTAAAAATCAGTGACATTTCTATACATTTAAATGAACTATCCAAAATAGAAATCAATAAAATAATTATATTTATAACAGCTTTCAAAAATAAATAAATAAAATAGTTAGGAAGAAATTTAACCAAGCAGTTGAAAGATCTGTATAGTGAAAACCACAATAGAGTGATGAGAAAAACTGAAGACACAAGTAATTAATATTGTTAAAATATCCCAGGTATTGTGGCTAGCCAGTGGTGTGGTGCTTAAGGCAGCTAGATCCCACACAACCATCTTTGTATTTTGAGTCTGGACATGGAGACTGGAAAAACATGCAAGGCACAAATGTGTGCATGCCCAAAATTTCAAGAGGAGAATAGAAGGGAAGGGATTGTAATATTGCCACGCCCCACAGGGCATAATTTCTCAATTTCCCTCTCTCTCTCTCTCTGAGGCAGGAACACATGCCCAATAACAAAACTAAAAGTAACAAAAACAGAAATGAACAAACAACAAAACCTCTGAATATCTAATGTGATTTACAAATGCAATGCAATGCTCATCAAAATTCCAATATATGTTTTTTTGGGGGAGGAGAGATTTTTGCCATAGGGTGTGTGCACTTGCCAGACAGACAGAGAGAGACATAGAGACAGAAAATGAGATATCACCCCCCAGGGGATGGCCACGCGGCAATCCCCTCTCCTCCATTCTCCTCTCGGGATCTTGGGCACGCACGCACACGCGCCTGGTGAGTTTTAAGCCACCGGGTCTGGGACGAGAACTGTGGTCAACTACGTGGGAGTCGAGCGACATAGCCATTACTCTAACTGCTGGTCCCTCCAATGTTATTTTTTGTAGAAATAGAAAACAAATTCTAAAATTTGTATGGAACCACAAAGACTGCAAATAGCTAAGGCTATCTTAAACAAAAAGAGGCAAGTTAGAGTTGTCTCATTATTTGACTTAGAAAGATACTATAAAACCATAGCAATCAAAACAGTATGGTACTGGCATAAAAACACATATAGGGCCAGCCAGTGGCATAGTGGTTAAAATGGCTGGATCCCACATTGTTAATTATGCAGTTTGAGTCCTGGATCCAGTGGCTTGAGAATCATGCTGGGTGTGTGTGCAAGCATGCCCAAAATCTCAAGAGAAGAATGGAGGAGAATGGATTGTGGCATGGCCATTACCCCTGGGAGGGGATTACTTTCTTTTTCCAATGATTGCATGTGCCCTATAACAAAACTAAAACAGGGACAGCAGTTGGCATAATGGCTATGTTGCTGGACTCCCACGTAGTCAACTGCAGTTTGAATCTCGGCTCCAGTGGCTTAAACTCACGCCAAGCATGTGTGTGTGCGTGCCCAAGATCCCAAGAGGAGAATGGAGGAGAAGGGATTGCAGCGTAGTCATCCCCCCTGGGGGATGATTTCTCACTTTCTGTCTCTGTCTCTCTCTGTCTTTCTGGCGAGCGCACGTGCCCTATAGCAAAAACCTTTCCAAAAACAAAAACAAACAAACAAACAAACAAAAAGAAACAGACACATAGACGAATGAAATGGAATACAGAGCCAGAAGTAAGCCCAAGTATTTATGGCCAATCGATTTTTGACAAAGATGCTTAGACAGTAATATGGGGAAAGGATAAACTTTTCAATAAAAGGTATTGGAATAACTGGGTAACTACATGTAAAAGAAAGAAATTATAGCAGCCAGCAGTGATGTGGTGGTTAAGGCACTAGACTTCCATGTAGTTCAAGTCCTAGATCCAGCAGCTTGAAAATTACACTGGGTACATGTGCACGCATACCCAAAATCTCAGGAGGAAAATGGAGGAAAGGAGATTGCAGCATGGCTATCCCCCCTTTGGAGTGATTTCTCACTTTGCTTTTACTATTTCTCTCCAGCAAACATATGCACCTCATGGAAAAAATCTTTAAAAAAAAGAATGAAATTATACCCTTATCTCACACCATATACAAAAACCAATTGAAATTATAAAACTACAGTTAGAAAACATAAGGGGAAAGCTCTATAATGTTGGCCTGGGGAATGATTTTTTTCTTGGATATGAACCCGAAGCACAGCAAGTGAAAATAGACATATCAGATTGTATCAAACTAAAAAGCTTCTACCAAGCCAAGAAAATGCTCATCAGAGTGAAGAGACAACCTATGAAATGTGAGAAAATATTTGTGAACCACACATCTGAGGAGTTAATGTCAAAAATATGTAAGAAATTCAATAGCAAAAAAAAAAAAAGTAAGTCAATTTAGAAATGGGCAGAGGATCTCAATAAACGTTTTTCCAAAAGAGGCATACAAATGGCCAATAGGTATATGAAAAAATAGCTATCATTGCTAATAACCAAGGAAACACAAATCAAAACTACAATGAGACATCACCTCACACCTGTTAGAATGGCTATTATCAAGGCAATTAAAGATAAACATTGGTAATAAGGCAGAGAAAAAGGACCCCTTGCACACTGTTGATGGGAATGTAAATAGTATAGTGATTACATTGTGAAGATTCCTCAAAACATTGAAAATAGAACTGCCATATGATCCTGAAATCTCACAGCTAGGTATATATTTAAAGGAAATGAAATCAGTGTGTTAACGTGATAACTGCATGTTCCTTATAGCACTATCCACAATAGCCAACCTATGGAATCAAACTAAGTGTCCATTGTCAGATAAATGGATAAAGAAAATGTGGCATATATACATAATTGAATACTATTTAGCCTTAACAAAAAGACATCCTGTCATTTGTGACAATATATAATAGATAAACTATAAACTAGCATGATGCTAGGTGAAATAAATCAGGCCAAGAAAGACAAATACTACATGATATCACTTACATGTGGAATCTTAAAAAGGGGAAACTTGTGCCAACCCTGTAGTGCAACAGTTAAGTACTGTGCAGAGAGAGCTGGGTCTCATGTGAGTGACTGTGGTTCAAGTCTTGGCCTGGTTGGCTTCAAGAACA